TTTGCTGCCTTTTGCTGGTCCTTTGCTTGTTTAAACTGGTCCTTTGTTGGTTTATGCTGGTCCTTTGCCAGCACATGACCAGCATAAACCAGCAAAAGACCAGCTTAAAACATACCTAACCAGCATATGCTGGTTTTTTCAACAGGGAATGCACTTAATTATACGCTAAGTATTTTCCTCCTTTAAGAAAACGCTTAACCCGTCTTATGCATTGAACAGACAGTTACATTTAAAGTTCATATTTTAGACTCATCTGTTTTCCTGCACATAGTATGCTTTATTAGTAAAGTGTGCACAGAATGTGGTCTTTTAATATCGCGGTCTCAGTGCATTAAGCCTTTTCTTTATAAAAAGTAAACGCTTAACGTGTAAATAAACACGTTTCGTTCACATTTTGGGTTCATATGCGTATTTGCACCAGTCTATGATTTGCACATAGAAGTATGCTTTACAATTTTGACTTTATCACTGTCTTGGTCCAATAAGCCACATTAAGCATTATCCATGTTGAGCGTTGTATAATGTCTCTGTTCAAGTTCTGCTAATTCACAAGCCGAGTGAGAGTCATACTCGCAAAGGTAATGTTAATTATTAAACCAAACAAAAGCAAAACTTTCAAAAACACCCAGAAATTTGATTATTTTATTGAGTGATAGGCAGTGGGTTTAATTAGTGACATTATTAATAGATTTCTGCAGTAGTCATCTCCACGAACTTGCATGTGCATTGCATTTGTAGAATAAAGAAAAGAAAGAGTCCTGTTAGTGTGTTTCATCTTTATTTCATATCTTTGCAGTTGCTAATTTCATGTAAAACCTAATTGACCACGGACAATCTGCCCTTATATTTGCCTTTATTTATTTTATTACATACTTTGCATTTACAGTTTCTCTATATTTTGATTGTATTTGTACATTTGAACTAGTGAAATGGGACACTGAACACTGAGTGATGGAGTAATTGTTGGCATGCCATGTCTATAATCAGGAATGAATCTTGTGATTCAGTACAAAAGTGCAGTTTTATGAAGAAATAAAGACAACGGTGGAGACAGAGACAAGGCCATCTACAAACTCTAAAAAATTAAGCCAGAAAAAAGGTGAACAGAATCAGCATTTTCACTCCAAACATTTCAACATTCAGCTTCAGCCTCATTCAGAGTTAACAAACAGTACTTGAACAGACACATATAAATGCAAAGTGCATATTAACAATGCCATGTTTGACACAAAACACAATTAAAATTAATAATAATAACCCATACTCCTGCCAGAAAGCAGGAACAGGATAAAGCAGGGGCACTTGAGCAGTGTGTACAGGCCTCTTGTAAGACAAAATACACATGCAAAATAAAATACACAATTATTATGAAAAGCAGATGTTAATGCAGAAATAATAACTATTATAGTGTATCAAGCAAGGATAGAAAACTACTACTGATACGTACATTTGAATTCCAATTTAGGGGTGGGGGGACATAAATAAACAAATAAAAAAAACATACATTTTCAAAAATCTGCATTGCTTATATCAGTTTTAATACCACCTTCATCATCATCATCAGTTTTTATTAAATATATATATATATATCTACACATTCATACGCTCCTTTGCTCGGTCCAGACCTGTTGAAATGCACTCTCGTCAGTTTTATTGGTTCAGAAAATAAAAACCTTACAAGATCTCATCCATGGACCGCTGAAATGGAAAAACACATTCAGCAATCCGGATGAGAGTTTCTGCTGAAGGAATAAATACACCTATTGTATCCTCTTCCCTAATAAAAAATCTATTAAGTGCAGCAAAAGAGATAGAGAAGTTCAGTGCATGTTCAGTGCAAAGAGAAGAAGCATCAACCTCATGCAACAATAAAGTCCCACTACACACTAGAGGGCAGCATTTGTGAAGGTAAAGCTACAGAGCAGCTGCGTTCAGGGTTTCTGTGACAGCCAACAGTTCTTCAAATACAAATAAAACGTCTGCCTCCACAAGTAAAATCAATATTGTTGTATGCTAGTGTACAGTATATGTGAATCGTGAATAGCTATTCTTAATCAGTGAGTTCTCTATTAGATAGTAGATGCACTACATGTGTGTCTGTACAGATTACGAAGATCGAGTCCCAAAGCAAGCACCATCAGAGTAACATGCTCGCGCTGCTCATGAGAAATGTTTACGTCTCTAGAGTAGACACATGCACACTCATTCGTTACCAAATGACTACTTGTAGGAAAATTATTATGCAAATATTTTGTCTTTGAATCAGTTAAGCAATGAGCACATCTTGAATTATCAGGCTACACGTTTTCATGCATGCATTGCCTCCTTAAAAAAAAAAAAAGTATTTTCTAGAGCTACAAATAAAACGTCTGCCTCCACAAGTAAAATCAATATTGTTGTGTGCTAGTGTACAGTATATGTGAATCGTGAATAGCTATTCTTAATCAGTGAGTTCTCTATTAGATAGTAGATGCACTACATGTGTATCTGTACAGATTACGAAGATCGAGTCCCAAAGCAAGCACCATCAGAGTAACATGCTCGCGCTGCTCATGAGAAATTTTTACGTCTCTAGAGTAGACACATGCACACTCATTCGTTACCAAATGACTACTTGTAGGAAAATTATTATGCAAATATTTTGTCTTTGAATCAGTTAAGCAATGAGCACATCTTGAATTATCAGGCTACACGTTTTCATGCATGCATTGCCTCCTTAAAAAAAAAAAAAGTATTTTCTAGAGCCTCCGATCTGGTTTCCAGTAAGTGGAGTGTGAACGCAGACTATTAGAGAAATCACTTTAGCAGCTGGGAGTGCGGTGTATGTCTAATGTTCTCTAGGCTTTAACACTTGCAGACTATAAGCATCTACACATTTCCCTCGCGTTTATAATATTATTCGACCCGATTTTTCTATAAATGGGTGAATAATAATGCATGCAGTAATCGGGGTCTCCTCTGATGTGAATGAGGCAGCAAGTAATCATTTTTACAATCAATACTGCAGCTCAAATACCTCTACACTGCTATGAAATGAACAAGATGTTCAAAAACTGAAATGAAAGGATAGAAAGCAGAAAGGATGACTTACCACATTAAACAATATGTTCAAAGTCAATGCATCTGGCTTCTTGGCCTCCTGACATACAGGCAAAATCTGAAGAAAACTAAGAACAAGTCTAAAAAAGTAACACTTGCAGACTATAAGCATCTACACATTTCCCTCGCGTTTATAATATTATTCGACCCGATTTTTCTATAAATGGGTGAATACTAATGCATGCAGTAATCGGGGTCTCCTCTGATGTGAATGAGGCAGCAAGTAATCATTTTTACAATCAATACTGCAGCTCAAATACCTCTACACTGCTATGAAATGAACAAGATGTTCAAAAACTGAAATGAAAGGATAGAAAGCAGAAAGGATGACATACCACATTAAACAATATGTTCAAAGTCAATGCATCTGGCTTCTTGGCCTCCTGACATACAGGCAAAATCTGAAGAAAACTAAGAACAAGTCTAAAAAAGTCATGATGACGAAGAGGAGCATGATGAAGAGCAGCACGATGGCGCAGAACAGACCGTTGCTACTCACCTGAACCGGGCTCATACTGTTTATAATGGAGTACAGCAGCCATGGGAGCGGTAACCTGGGAAACAAAGACATGCTGGTTTAGGGCTCTGAACATTATAAACGCACGAAACTAAAGCTCTGATACAAAACCGAGTGAACTGTGTGATGCTTAATGCTGCATAAAGAAATACAGAAAAAATATTCTTGCATGCGAAATGAAAGTCATGTTTTCAGACAACTGGATGGATCTTCATTGCAATTAAATGAAAATGTTTTAGATTAGTGTAAAATGCAATTAGAGTTTTTGACCCACTTAAGTACATCTTTGTATGATATTTCATAATTGCTTATATTGCCTTTGAAATGTGGTTAAAGTACTGCTGAATGCATTGATAGCATTTATGATCAACTGAAATATACTTTAATGTCATTTCTGTTGAACCTGAATGCCATGCATTTAAATATGTTTGTAATTAATGTTTGCAACAAATTACTGATTTGTAAATGTCCTCATAATGTATTACAATATAAAATGTATTAACTTTAAAATGTAGAAATGAACAAAACACAGTTAAAATGATAATCAAGCACTTTACATGTGCATCAGTATGTTAGTCAACACATCAAAATATTAAGTGTGCTTCTTTAAAACACCAGAGAAGATGATTAAAACAATGATTTCAAATGTATGTTAAAGTTTTAATTTGACATTACTGAGTGCACATTATTTATATGTCTATCAACTCAACATTCATTTGATTAAAAATACAGTAAAAACAGTAAAAATCTATTAAAAACAGCTGTTTTCTAAGTGATTATCTGTTAAGCTGTAATGTATTCCTGTGATGCGCAGCTGAATTTCCAGCATCATTCCTCCAGTCTTCAGTGTAACATGATCTTCAGAAATCAGTATAATATGCTGATTTATTAGAAACATTTCTGATTATTATCAATGTTGAAAACAGTCGTGCTGCACAATATTTTTGTGGAAACCGTGACACAGTTTAATTTTCAGGATTCACAGATGAATAGAAAGTTCAAAAGAAGAGAACTCTTTTGCAACATTATAAATGTTTTTACTGGCACTTTTGATCAATTGAATGCATCCTTGCCGAATAAAAGTATTAATTTCTTAAATAAAAGCACGTAAGCGTACCCCACAGTGATGTCGAATATGTTGGAGCCCACGGAGCTGGACACTGCCATGTCTCCCAGACCCCTCCGGGCCACAATGACACTGGTGATCAGGTCAGGGATGGAGGTTCCCGCCGCTAGAATCGTCAGTCCCATGATCTCCTCTGTGATTCCTATAGTCTCTCCCACCTGCAGAGATATCAGCACTAAACAATCCGACTGAAAAATATGACTGAGCTCAACATCAATAACACACTGCCAGTGGAAGATTATTTCCCAGCTGTGTCGAGAATTCATCAAACAAACAAACTGAACTTTAGAGTGTTTTTTGACCCACTTAAGTAGGACTTAAGTACATCTTTATATGTAATTTCATAATTACTTCTATTGTCTTTGAAACATGATTAACATACTGCTGAATGTACTGACAAGCATTTATGATAAACTAAAATATACTTTAATGTCATATCTACTGAAACTTGTGTAATGTATTAAAATAGCTATTAAACGGCTAACCGAGACTTGTCATTAGCACTTACATATCGTTGCTCTTTTGTTAGTTTTGATTGCTTCTATTGTCCTCATTTGTAAGTTGCTTTGGATAAAAGCGTCTGCTAACTGACTAAATGTAAATGCTGTAAGACATTTGCAATTAGTAACTTTAAATCTAATATTGAATAACACACTAGACTTAAAATGATAATCAAGTACTTTGCGTGTGCTTTAGTATGTTAGTCAACACATCAAAATAAGTGTACTTCTTTAAAACATGACAAAAGTTTATTAAAACATGATGCACTTTTAATTTGACATCGAAAGGTCACTATTTAAAAGTGTGCTTAAGTGTGCTGTCATGAAAGCGTCTCTCTTTAAGTCACTTAAGCAGACTTTTATTTCATTAATATTATATCATCTGCTAGTAGCTTTTTTTTTAATGTAAGCTATTTAAAAAATTTGACGTGCACATTAAATATCATTAAGCACACTTTTTAAAAGCGTTTGACAAAAAAAAACAAAAAAACAATGACATTAACATCTTCAACAAATGGATAACCGAGTCCAGATGTTCTGAATAAAGATATAAAAGCCCTGATGTGAACTAGCTGTGTCTGGTGTCCTGTCCGCTGTTACCTGATGAGCCCACCACACCATCAGGTAGGAGAATCCCGCGATCCAGCAGATCGCTCCCAGGAACGTAATGGGAAAAAACTTCTTGGAACTCTAAAGAAAAAACAAACGCACGAGAATCGTCTCACGGTTAATCACAGTTCTCACATCTGCATCAAACACTGGTCAGACAGAAACTCACGGCCTTCCGGACGTCCGGCAGCGTCATCCACAGAGGGAAGACTATGGGCAGGATCAAGAGATACGTGAAGCGCTTGCGTTTGGACTCGGGCCACGACAGGCTCAGAGGCTGATCTTCCTCATCATCCTCTTCACCCTGATCAGAGAGACATGTGTGAGATGTGAACATTTCCAATTATCTCCAGCACACACAAACCGCTCCGACACATTTGGGTTCCTGTTTCTCCAATTAAAGCTTGGGTAAATCCTGCGGGATGGAGGCGCTTTTGTCAGAACATGCCATATTTAAATGCTACTGTAAACTATGATTGGTAGAGTTAACTAAAACTAACTAACTAAATAAAATGTTTTAGTAAAATGTAGTAATTTTGTCATTTTTATTTGTTTTTCTTTATATTATTGTTTTGTTATTTATATAGTTTTTTACATATATGTGTATAGTTTTTATTTTTTTTTATTTCAGTTTTCATTATTTGATTATTTTATGTAGTATGTCAAATTAAACTGAAAATTAGAAATCTTGGCTTGTCAACTAATTTTAATAGTAACTAAAAAATAAGCTTTAATTTGATAAAATTGTAATTATTTAATAATAATAATAATAATAAAAATGACAAAAACACACCATGGTTATTAAAGTTAACTAAAACTAAAACCATTAAAAATTTTACTTTTTAAAATAAAATTAATGTTAATAATAAAACTTGTTTTATTGTAGCTAGTTGCCTATATATACATTTAAAAAATGACAAAAATGAAAAAAACAAACAAAAAAAACAGCTATTATAGTTAACTTAAACTGAAACCATAAAAAAAAACATTTTTGTTACTTGAAATAAAATTTACATTAAATGAAATCAAATAAAACAGACAAATTTAAACGTATTTTATTCAAGGTAATTGCCAAGCCATCATTTATAATTTTCATTTAAATTTGAAATATTAAAATAACTAAAACTAAATGAAAAGTAGACATACTTAAATAAAAAAATATATATAGAAAACAATAACTAATAAAAATGACTTTAACTAAAATCTAATTGAAAACTGAATATATAAACATATAAACTAATTCAAATTATTAATAAAAACTATAATCGTATGCCAATGATACTGAAACAAACAACACGATTATTAATTTTTTTACATTAAAACAAAAACTAAAATATAATAAAAATAATTTAATATATTAATACAAACTGTATTAGTATATGATACTAAAATAACAGCACTATAAACCCAAGTGGCGCTCAGAAACCATCAGCCTGAGGTCTTTCTCCAGTGTGTGTGAGTGTGTATCAGTGTGTGTTACAGTGAATGGAGATCCTCAGAGATGTGCTGTCAGACGCCTCAGCACCACCGCTGCGATGAAGCCGCTCAGACGGAGCAAAAACAAACGCCAAAGCTTACTGTGAAACACGCTTACGGTGTTTCCCTTTAAGAGCGGTGGAGTGGTTACTATGGTGATGAGTGATGCATTTAGGAGCCGATTCCTAACGGAGGAGAGTTTGATGATGCACGATCAGTCTGGAATCAAATGCAATGCTAACAGCAATCATCATCTAACCGACGTCAAACAGAACCGTACTGATATCCGTGATTTTGCTGAATAGGATGTAGTGCTGTTCCTTGAGCTCTGTTCATGTCAAACAAACCTCACTGTAACCTTAAAGGGACAGTTCACCCAGAAATTTAAATTCTCAAACTTGTATGAGCTTTCTTCTGCAGAACACAAAAGAAGATATTTTGAAGAACGTTGATATAGCCTAAAAAATAGCCTAATATCAAGCGTAGCGTTAGTTCTGGCAGGTCACGTTAGTCAAGCTCGCATCAGCTGACTCTCAGCTACCTATAGGAATACGACACCTATCTAAGCATTCATATATAAGGTCCCACAGTAGTATCAGCAGTTTTCACATTGCTCAATAGCTAGTTACCCTCCTCCATCCCCAGCTCCTCCTCTGTCAGTCAGGATTCAGCCTTCTGATTCTCCTTTGAATCAGACTAATTCTGAAATGTGTACATAAAGTTATTGAACTTTAACGACATCTGCAATATATTTAAGTTGGTTCTGTTTATGTGATATTAACACACTTAAGTACACTTTTAAACAGTGACCTTTGTTAAAAAGTTTAAATAATTGTTTCAATAATCTTTTGTCAAGAATTACGTTATTTTGATGTGTTGACTAACGTACCGAAGCACATGTAAAGTACTTGATTATCATTATAACTCTACTAAATTGCAATTTCATTGCAAATACACTTAAATACATGGCATACACGTTTCAATAGAAATGACAAAGTATATTTTAGTTGATCATAAATGTTTGTCAATACATTCAGCAGCTCATTTTAACCATATTTCAAAGACAATAGAATTATGAAATTACATATATGTACTTAAGTCCTACTTAAGTGGGTTAAAAACACTATAAGGCTCAGCTAATTGCATTCAACATTAATTTAAACTATATTACATTTTCATTTAATTGCGATTAACATGCAATTACAGTAAGTGTCTGAAAACATTACATTCAGTTCACACTTAAGTATATTATTTTAAATTATATTATTTCTGTTATAATCACTGGAAAGAAATTTAATTGAACAAGATATTAAATATGTTTTCTGTTGAAGGTAAAATACCCAGTGAATGTCATTTGACAGTCTGTTTGTTTCTGGATGTAGAGACGAGGAAGAGTCTGAATTTAAACCGTAACTGATTCTGAAAAGCTCTCGGTTATATTTCAATGTTTCCTCTTCTGCTTTGACACCAATGTGTCCTTTCTTCAAGTAAAGATAGCTGCTTGTTGAGAATATTTTGAGATTTTTTTATGTCACCTTCAGCTGCAATGTGTGTGTGTGTGTGTGTGTGTGTGTGTGTGTGTGAGAGTGGGTGTGTGTTGGGATGGCGTCCTGCAGGAGCAGTGTAATTATCAGGACAGCACATTGGTGAAACACTGCTGTAGGTGTGAATGAAGCACTGCAGCCTCCTGACAGACACACACAGGGAACGAACACTCAGAATAGTTTAAACAGCGAAATGACAGAAGAGATGAGGCGATCATCAGTTACACTGACGAGAATAAAACACAGCAGATGATTGTGAACAAGCAGGTGGAGGAAGGTTACTTTGGTTCATGTGCTTTTACATGATTCTTTAATATATGTGATGATATCATTGCAAGCACATGCACTTCTAACCTTTAACCTGCCAGGGATTACAGATTAAAATGGGCCTACATGGTTAAATCTGGCACATTTACATGATGGACTGAAGTGATCATGTCAATTAATGTGCATTGACACTTTTAAAATAAATAATAAAAGTACCATAAAGCTGGGGTTTGAGACAGAGAGAGACAGAGAGGAAGATAAAGCTAGGCTACCAATGTTAACATGTTATCTTGGGATAATATTTAAATATATATTTTTAAATAATATGTTTTTA